GCTGTTTGCGGCGGCCCCCAGGTCACCCCAGCCCGCCGCACCTTGCTGGCAGTCCCCGAGCCCGAGCCCCGCGTCTCTGCAACTTGGGAGCTGCATTCTGCAGCCTCCCAGCCCCTAGGGTGGCCCGCCGCGTCTGGTTCTGCCAGGGAGACGCTTCTGGACGACACCGCCAGAGACCGCGGAGGAGGGCCAAGAGGCAGCGGGAAGCCGGCCAGCTCGCTGCCCGGAGCGGCGCCCCGGCCCTGCCACACCGGAGCGTGTGGCACTCAGCCCCCAACCCAGGCGAACGAGGCACGGAACTTTAATCCTTCTGCCACAATTTTTCCCTCTAGACCCATCTTACCGGGGGGAAAATCCTGACGTCTTGGCCAACGTGGAACACTGCCTCTTCTCTTTCCCCCGGGGCTGCGTCCCGTGGGGGGCAGGCTGGCCGATCCGGTCTTTGCACAGCGACCAGGGCGCCCAGGCTGTACCCAGACGGCCGTCACTCCTGTCGGCGCGGCCGCACCCTGACCGTCATCCCCAGGCCACATCACATCTTGGTGGCCTGAGGCTGTCTCCAGGTGACCCGGGCCAGCTCCAGCCGGGACCGCTCAGAGGTCCTGCCCCTCGGGAACCTGTCTCTGGGGTCCACCCCCCTACCCTGGCTCCTTCCAGCCCCTCTGCCTTCTCAGCCCAGGGGCATCTCTGTCTCGTCTGAGGAAGATTCCTCTCTCCCTCCCTGACTTCAAAGGGGCTTCTCTGCAGACTCCTTCTCTGCGTCTTGTCCTGTCTCAGAGACACCCGTGGCCCTGTGGGTGGTGGCTCCCAGAAACATGGAGGCCGGTCATCCAGGGGCTGCTTCGGTCATCTGCCCTCCTGACACCTGAAGCCCCCAGCCATCCTGCTTTTTATTTTAATTCTTTTAAGTTTATTTATTTTTGAAGGAGAGACACAGCGTGAGCGGGGGAGGGGCAGAGAGAGGGGGAGACACAGAATCCGAAGCAGCTCCAGGCTCCGAGCTGTCAGCACAGACCCGACGCGGGGCTCGAACCCACAAACCATGAGATCACGACCCGAGCCGAAGTCGCCTGCTCAACCGACTGAGCCCCCCAGGCGCCCCCCAGCCGTCCTGCTTCAATGAAGGCCAGGTAGGGGGTGGGCACTTCTGGAAAGAACGGCACGAAGAAAATGAAAAACATCAGGTCACCACACGGAAAATGACCAGTTTGGTTTACAGCAAAGGGGGAAATCCCACTTACAACGCCCCCCAAAGCTACAAGTTGCCGAGCAGTAAAGACGCCAAAGAAGATACAAGTCGCAGAGGAAGAAAACGAAATCGCCAAGGGGCATATGGGGCAGTCGGCTGCGCGGTGAGACCTCAAACCGGGACCACGACCCCATCCCCCGCGTCACCCCCGAAACAGGCGAAATTCCAGTCACCCCTCCGAGGCCGTTCTGGAAGTGGACAAGTGAACCCTAACATTCACCTGGAAGAATAAACGGTGACAAGCAGCGACCTTCTAAAAAGAGGCGCTGCCTCAGCAGCTCTGGAACTCGCTGTGAAGCCACCAGAAGCAAAACGCCCGGCGGGGCCCCGACGCGAGGCGGGTCGGACCCGCACGGACGCGGGTGCCGCGCGCTGTTACCAAGGTGGCACTTCACGTCAACGGGGGAAAGACGGGCTCTTCAATGGGTGGCACTGAGACACAACGGCCATTTATTTCGAAGAAGTCCTGCCACATCGTGGACGAGCCCCGGGGGGCCTGGATGTCCGCAGGTAGTGGCCGTCTCTATAACAGCACCAGAATATGAGGACTGTCTTCCCAAGGTCAGGGCACAGGAGGCCCTCCTAAGATCCAGAAAGCACAACAATTGGCTTGGACCACACAGAACGTGAGGACGTGCACGCGAGGACGGCGAGGACACCAGAACGCAGGACCGTGGGAAGGACGGCACCTAACACACAAAAGGGTCCCTAAACCTGTAAGAAAACACAAGGGCCACAACACAAGGGCCACAGGTCGTGACAAACTAGTGAGACGTTCAACCTCGCAAAAGCGTTTTCCAGTGGAAATCAGGGCAAGGGTCCGCTCGGTCTCCCAGACTGACGGAAGCTCCTGGAAGAGGAGGGGCCCACGGTGAGGGGTGGGAGGAGTGGGGAGGGGACACAGCTTCCTTCCCTTCTTTGGGGGCCATCTCCTTCCACACGGATGCTCTCCTGGCTCAGCCACCCGCGTCCTGAGTCCCCTAGAGAGTCACTCGACTGCATGAGGACACGAGGACGAGGGTGGTCACGCTGGTCACACAGGGTGCTGGTGAAAGAATGGACCCCTCGCCTTGGGGTGAGAGGCGGTTTCGGGGGAGTACTATGCAGACCCCGAAAGCAAAAGCTCTGTGTAGATCCGGAAGGGTGTCCTTGGCCAGTTCTTCAGAAAAACGCCCCAAGGGCGCACGGGTTCACCAGCACTGTCCACGCGCCCAGCCGGACCAAGCGCACCCCGCAGCCGGTGGGGCTCAGCCCCACGAGGACAGCCCGTCAAGGTGGAGACCGCTCGCAGGCCTTCGGACG